CTCTCAGAATGGCAGGTCTCCACTCCAGCAGGTCCTCAGGAGATCCCAGAGCCTGCTCTCCCAAGGACAGACCATCCTGGCAGGACAAGTGCACGAGGTTTCTGGTTCCTGCCACGAGCAGAAGGGCAGGCTCTTCCCCTTCAGCCCCTGAGCTCCACCACGTCTGCCCTGAGGACTCCAGGGCTGCCAGACCAAGTGTTTGAAACCATGTAGAGCACAACAGCCACCAAGCTGAGGCAGCTGGTGGGTTTTGAAGTACGTGGGCACTTTTTAAGCCTCTCTGAGTAGACACCAGGGCAGCAGGAGGCTGCAGACACAGCCCCCAGGGGGGAAATGTCACCGGGAGGAAGAGACTCCCACCTAAAACATCCAGCTGCGGCTCCCTGGCAGGAGTGGTGGGACCAACCTCCCAGGGGAGCTGAATCCTAGGATCACAGAAGGTGATGTTGGGTTGGAAGGACCAGTCTGACCCCCTGCAGGATCCAAGGACCTTCTTAACTAGACCATGTTGCTCAGAGCCCCATCCAGCCTGACCTGGAACGTCTCCAGGGACGGCACCTCCGCCCCCTCTCCGGGCAGCCCGTTCCCATCGCCCACCACGCGCAGTGTAAAGAACTTCACAGCAAACCCTGGACTGCTGGGCTGTCCCAGCTGGTTTTCCATGCCAGGCCTGCAGGGCAGGACACACGGGCTGCAGGGACGTGATTCCCAGGGGCAGGAATTCCTGCCCTCCTCAGACAGAGGGACCAGCCAGCCCCGCGGCGGCTGTGCCCCCGCGCCCACCTTCCGGGGGGAGGGGGAAGGATGGATCCTTCCCTGGAAAAGAGATTCTGCTGCTCAGAGAGGGGGGCACGGCGGGGGCAGGGGGACCCCGGCTCCTGGGGCTTGAGGGGAGGATTCAGTGGGATAATGGGAAAAGCAGCCCCAGCAAATGTCCCTCGTGGGGGCAGTGAAACCCGCGCTGTGCGATCACCTGGAGGGGCGGGAAGGAGCCGGCGCAGGGCTCGGGATAACTGCAAAAACAAAAGGCTGGAGGAACTTCTTAGTTTTTAATTTTATATTTTTTTTTTTGAAGGGGAGGTTGCAGATAAGCTTTTTTCCAGGCTCTTGGCCCTGCGATGCTTTGGACTGGTGGAGTTTCCATCTTTCCCTCGTTTCCAGCCCCCTCTCTCTGCTGCTGGGATGAGACCGGAGACGGATCCTGCTCTGCGGGTTCCTGGTGCTGCCAGTGTCCCTGAGAGCCAAGGCTGGGCCAGGAGGGGGCATGTGGTGGGTCCAGCATTCCCGCT